TAAAGGTTTTTTTATTTCTGCTGCAACAACAAAAGTTGCTAAAACATGTGAGTGCGCTTGAACATTACATTAGTTTAAAGTCAGCAAGTGTAATGAAGCGAACAATTATAGATAAAATTTTCGATAATAAATATATTATCAAGTTACGTGTAATTAATAAATTCCGACTCTCTGTAAATGCATCCCATCCCTTTCCAAGTCGCTCTAGCTCATTCCCAAGGACATGCATTTAGAGAGGGTTGACTGTACTATATTTCCAAAACATGATAAACAGTTTTTCCGGAAATACAGTAACTGTCAGAAATTGAAGACTTGTTGGGTGACGAATGGCTGTTTTAACAAGACAATGGCCAACATATACTAGCCGCTTTACAAAATCTTCTTCGGGATAACATGCCTAAAGCTTAGATTGGCCTTCTAACAGTCTTGATCTAAATCCGATAAAAAATCTCTGGAGTATCGTTAGAAAAAAAGATGCCGAAAATGTTTGTGGGGTTTGTGCGTTTATGCCAATGAGTAGGAAATTGAGTTAGTACGATCGATAAAACGTCAATGTAAGCTTGTCGTATACAAATAACAGTAAACGCATTTTATATTACTTTCTTGCTAGTTTTCAGCTTTTAATGGTATAGAAATTATCTTTGTCGCATCATTGATTCTCGAGTAATATGTGATTTTGTAATTATGTAATTTTTTGTCTCATGTTGTAAATCTGGACTGTTGGATGGTCAGTTTATGAAGCTTGGCAGCACGCTAGTATTAATAATACGCTCAATTTTACCCTACTTTTATGTAATTATACTGCTTTTTCAAATGTCGCAAGTTGGCATAAAAAATACGTTTATGTCGTTAGCAGCATTTGGTTGCCCAAGTTGTCAATGACAAATGCCACGCTACGTGTAATTTTGATGCAATTGTCACTTAGCTTATGTCAAATATGAGCAATTTTTTTGTTTTATTTGTTTGTTTTTAGATTTTTAATATTGTAATAAATTTACGAGAATAACATGTTTGTCATAATGCGCAAATATGACACCACTATTGTTCAACAGATTGACGGAAACATTTTTGTTCGGACAGGAAAGAAAACTTTACAAAAATATCAAGATAAATTAGTAGTACAATAAAACTTGAATATGTTGCAATCGGTTTGGTGAAGCGATTTATTCAGCAGATGACGAATTTGTTTTGTTGCACACGGTACGTTATTTTGTATTCCCAATCTCGGAACGCACTCTCCATTCTTCACGTACATACCATAGACTCTGTATTCCTAAATATTAATATATGAAGAATAATCCGTAAATGTACCACGGGACATTAATTATAAAAACTACCAAATTTGGTCGAATTGTAAGGCAGACTTTAAAGTCAGGCCGTCATTGATTATTTCAATCATGTAAACATAATATAAACAGAGATGCGCTGATGTTGATAAATATATTAATAAGTACAGACTATACTATTTATAGTCACTTAAATTCACAATCTCTATATACTCTCTAAATTCACGCCCTCAACTCATAAACTTTCAATTCCAATGCGTGCTTTAGAAAAAATGTGTAAAACGGTCTAATACGTACTGAGCGATTTTGCGGTGACTAATTGATATTCATCAAGATTAATGGCATACGTACGCATTTGAATATTCAGCATATACTCATCTTCCTCTTGCAGCAGATGAAAGCGTGATTGGTTTTCCGCGAGACGGTTGCGTTTAATTGAGCCCCACTCGGGATTTATCCGTTAAAAAAGTGTCACTGTTGTCGAGTATTTACAAGATGATGATATAGAGAATATAGAGTACTTTGATTGGGTGATCACTAATTCCAGTAAGTAAGGGTCTTTTCCGAGGGGTGTAATACAAGTATCTCCCGTACTTCAGGGTCAGGGCGGCTGTGGTACAATTGAGGGTGTGTATGCTCGCTAACACTATTTACGTTAGAAAGTAGGCAGACTTGGGCAATTGGCTATGAACGACACACATCAGGTCAATTATGGATGAGACATTATATTTTACTCCAGGAGATCCTAATCGATTACTGTGGTTCCATTCGATAGTTAAATAGAGAGATGATGTTTGAGCTTAATCAGTAAAATGTCGTTTTAGGATAGGACCATCCTACATGCTTACATCAGAAGCATAATAATAATGGTCATTCTCTCAATCGTATACTTGTCAGTACAACCCCCGGGCGTACCAATTTAACTTACATCCTAATTAGTCTTTCTGAGTGACGTTGAGAATTATACTTGATCACAGTCTCACTTTACTGTCCAATAAGTATAAGATAGGGATACAATCTTCAGTTTGATAGACACAGACGAGACGCTCGATCAAACCAACGACTTTTGATTGGTGCGGAAACTGACCGTATGCTAGGTTGTTGTAAGAGAAAAAGACCGGGTTTACTTGTACGTGAGCGGAAATGAGCTAGCTAGCATTTCTTCTTTTACCGTAATTGGGTTTATCTTTTAAGAAGCGTAGATTTCTGGAACTAGAGAACAGCATTCAATTGACTACAGTGACGAGTTGCTGCTCATAAAACGAAAGAAACATTGCATACACACACGCACGCACGCATTGCACACTTTTAAAGCAATAACAACATTCGTAATAGTCCTTTACATTACTGAAACGTATAATGATGGTTTCGACATGGAATTTTCTTTCTTTTGTAATAGATAATAGGTTCGAAAGATATGCAGAGTTTATTGCCAGCAGCAAAATTGGATTTCATAAATAAACAATTCATCAGCGATTGATATTGTATCTCCCTCCCACTCTTTGCATTGGTGCATCTAACATGTTACTGTAAGTTTTTGATAGTTTAGAAAAGCAACGATAACGAATGTAAAACTGTAATTAATTGTTCAAATATATTTACATTTAGCCGCTGTTATTCTCACCATTAGTATATCTTTACCTTGTTTTAATTCACAGTGTAGGTCTCTTTTTTGCAATTGACAATAACTGTTGTTATCATTCTTTGTTAATAGTGTGATAAAGATTGATAGTCTTGTACAGTGAAACAAATGAACTTTATCTCTATATACGAGCATTATGCAACCTTATCGAAATTATTCTGTGATACGGCTCAATTGTTGGCATGGCGTCATTCATGTCTTGTGTGTCATAGCGTGATTTTGGTAAACAAGTGAATTGATAATTTTTTGTAGTACAACGGCCAATTACCCCAAAATAAATGCAAAACGGGTTTCTATATTAAGAAAATATTCAGGCGTGTGCGGCCAAAAATAGCAAAACGTTCTGACTATGATAATTAACAACACTTATGGACATTTAATGTTCCCAACAAATTTTAGTTACTCTAGCACGCAATTGCCGTCCGCAATTCAGTCTTCAAAGTCAAACCCAAACAAACAAAAGCAAAGACTCTTGAAATGTTTCGAGTAATAGAAATAATTCTCATGTTTGTTCCAAGAGCTACGCGAATTTGTGTCGCATGATAACGGCATCGAACGAAGCGAACGGCGTAATGCCAATTCATTCGTTAGGAGCATATTCGTACCAGTTTGAGATGAAGAAAAAATAGCAAATTGCACACATATTAACTCAAACCTCACACAACCTAGCGCTTTGCTCGTCCTTGAATTGCTAATTATGTAACTCGGTCCTGTATTTCTTGCGTTGGAGTTGTTGCGTTGCAAACGATGGTCCCAGCAGTTGTCATTAATAATGTAATATTAATTATACAAACGAATATCTAAAATTGGTCTTCAAAAGTATAATACAAAACGTGCTAAAATTGTTGCGAATGTAAAATTAAAGGATTGTAACACAAACGTTATCTGTGCGTAATTAAATGGTAACATTAAATCTCAGATCAGTTTACATGCAAGCTTATACTAAGTAATATCTACGTTACTATTGTTAACCATGCATGCCATGCCAACTTCATTTGGTATTCAGGCATTCAATTTTTACTATCAAGTGCAGGTTTTATGCCCCGTCCACAGTATATCATTTGTTACGTCTTTAACATCTAACGTTACAAGTTTATAAACGAGAATGTTTTTACAGGACATTACATTATTTTATGTAGCTTCGTTATCATAAAGATTTGCGGTAGAATCCTCCAGTATCTATTTGATGTTTTACGAACAAAGCAATTCTCTTATACGACTTACAGGGAAAATGGTTCTGTGAATTTCCCAGAATATAACATCACTTGACACATTACCTTGTCCATTTGGGTTCGATGAAATATACAATTCAGTCACGTAGGTATTGTATCAAAACAAAGCAGTTCCATCAGACTTTTTTTTAGAAAACGAATAAAGTTTTCTAATAATTATTAACCATAGCACACACACTTGGCGCGCGGAACGTTGAAAGTAAACTCAATATAAAACATAATATACCAATGCATTTTTTAGTAAAAAAGGTATTATATAAAATAGATAACGTTTTCTAATAATTGTTTACCCAATAGCACACAGGAACATTCAGATAAAACTCAAGACAGCACATAATATACCAACACGTATATATATTATGTAAAATATAGAATAATTGTCGATATATTATAAATTGTTTGTTACAATAAAATCCGTTTTCCTAAATTACGAAATTCTTTTTGATTTTGGCTAATTATGTTTATGTCGCTAATATCGCACAATAAAATCTCTTCAGTCGCGCACGATATATAAAGGGCGTTCTGCCAATTTACTGAACCTCGTTCTATCCTATCCATACTCTACCGTCTAATTAGTAAAGACAGATATTCAGTCGTTTGACTGAACAATTTATTCTTTTATATATCGCCCACCTTCTTTTTGGTAATTGAAAGGTAGAGTAATGCCATCGCGTAGAAAATAGAGATACAATAATTAGTGGATTAAATTAACGTAATTAGTTCCAATTCGATTGCTTGTCTAATGTTAGTTCGTTTATCCGTTTCGAATGTTATTATATAGCCTCAGTAAGATGCGTTTCTCGTTGGTAATATTTGTAGCAGTACTGCTGACATCAGTAAATGCTCAAAATTGTGGGAAAAACGTCGGCGGTAAGTACATGGTTTAGAGTACAGTGCTTATTACGACCGATTGTGGTATCTCTATTACCGGTTCTGACCATTTTTTTTCTTTTTCCCTCATTCACATTAAATTGAAAACACACAGTATGCGCGACTGGCTATTGCTGTTCCCAATGGGGGTAAGCATGGTTCTCTTTTCTTTTATGACTTGAATAATATTTACTTACAAAAGAATTCTACTCTAAATTATAGCTGGTGCGGTACCACTAGCGACTACTGTGGTGCCGGTTGTCAATCAGCCTTTGGATCTTGCACGGGCAAGACAACAACTACCACCACTACCAGCAGCAGCAGCAGCAGCAGCACTACCACCACGGCCACCAGTTCTGGCAAAATCTCTACTGACAGTAAATGTAGCTCAAACGGTGGCGGGACGAGTAAGTATATCAATACATGACATGGCATGCATGGGTATCGCGCAAATTTCATAATCTGAACAAAATTCTTTTCCTTTTATAATACAGTATGTCCATCTAATCAATGCTGTTCGCAATACGGGTAGGTCTTGTTATTATCATTTTCTTTCTTATGACTTGAATAATATATAACCTTTCGTATAACAGTTGGTGTGGTACCACGAGTGCATACTGTGGCACCGGCTGCCAGGCAGCCTTTGGGTTTTGCACAGGCAAGACAACAACTACCACCACTACCTCCTCCTCTTCCTCTTCCTCTTCCCCCTCTTCGACTTCCACCACTACCAGTCCCCTTCCAACAACTCCTGCACCCGTACTCTCCACATGTACAAAGTCTGGCCAATTCGCTCTTACTTTTGATGATGGTTCGACAGAGGTGAGTAATTTGTAGAAAATGATTTGCAATTTGTTTAGACGAGATTGACTAATCTAATATAACTCTGTTATGATTTTTGTGATAAGCTCACAACTACTTTGTTGGACACTCTCAAATCAAAAGGGGCAAAGGCTACTTTCTTTGTAAACGGTCTCAATTACAGATGCATCTATGACATGGCGGACATCATCAAGCGTATCGTGGCCGTAAGTATAACTTTTCGATAACTAGTTTTAACAAGACAAAAGCACGATTAGTACTATTTTTACTAACGACCGACACATGAAAATTTTATCAGGATGGTCATCAGCTCGCTCATCATACTTGGTCGCACCCAGATCTCACCACGTTAAGCGATGCCCAGATAATTGACGAAATGACAAAACTCGAGACGGCATTCCGTAAGATTGTCGGAAAAGTTCCGCGTTATATGCGTCCGCCCTATGGTGCCTACGATGACCGTGTTCGCGCCGTACTCGGGACGCTCGGTTATAAAATGGTTCTTTGGGATATCGATAGCGGTGATTCTTTGGGCTATAGCGTATCTCAATCCGAACAGGTTTATATAGATAACTCCAACTATCCCGCGCCCCACTGTGCACTGAACCATGACCCGCATTCGACGACCGTCAACGACGTTGCGCCATTTGCTATTGACTTGTTGCAAGGCAAGGGATATACCTTGTCAACGTTCGGTCAATGCGTTGGAGACACTACGGGGTGGTATAAAGAGACAACGACTCCCGGTACTAGAGATAATACATGGGTTTGTTAAAGAAACCGTGATGGCGATATACAACCTTAATTAGACATTAGACAAACCTCCCTCCCTGTGTATAAGTTAATAATATTTAATAAACCTTTAATTGTTAGAATGTGTAATTACAATTTTGAAAGTTGATGAGTCATTCCTGTCCCACATTGCAAACACTAATTCATGTCAACAGAAGAAACACTTTAATTATTTCGTGGCCCAATATTTTTAATTCCCATTGTTAGAAAACGTAAAACCGAACGGTCCCCCCTCCTCCTCCCACGATCAAACGCATTACTTTGTCATACGACCCACCCGACCAAAACGGTAATCTCGGATACAAATAATAATGTGTGTGTGTGTGTGTGTGTATGTTGTTGTGTCAACAAAATATCGTACGATCGAGAGATCTCATCTTTGTACAACGTCTAACAGAGAGCTGAATAGTCTCTCATTCTGATGAGATTGACGTTTAGATTTAGATTACGTGTAACTAAATACATTTATTGGGCATCGTGTCATCGTATGTCATCGTATCGTTTAATGATGACAACGGCAAAAGACGATCCGCACCCGTGAATGAATTCCTTGGCTGTTTCGCTTCACATAAACATTAATGTTTATGTCATACCGCCAACCCACAGTTCTGGAAACATGTACGACAATGGCTTTTCCTTGGAAGAAGCGAGCGAACGAATAGCAACTCTTGTTTTGCAACAACGAACATCTTTGCAATAAATGCCATTTAGAGTCATAGACACGATAGAATTTGTAGATTGCTTCGAGCAAGTGGAACAATTAAATTTACTTAGTAATTACAGAAGAAAAACAACATTATTATTAACACATTACCACCAACCACGAAGTAATACTACAATGACCCAACCTATAGTTACAGATATACATGATATACATTATTTATAACTCAGTTGAATCATTTTTTTTATGTGATTTTCGTTCAAGAGGACAGACTTTTTCCCCCCTCTAATGCTTGTGCTCAAGTTGATGAAACGCCTCCGGAAGTGGATGACATAGTCGCGCATGTAATATCATTGGGTAAAGACGAATCCGCTACTTTGGACGTCCAACCTTCGTGTATAGTGAAAAGTATGGCGGTAAAAATGCTACCGAAATTCGTGCCTGAGAAAACGTTTGCAAGTTTAGATTTCAAAAAACAAAATCCAGTACAGAATCACCCACGTCATCTTTTGTTTTAAGCTTACCTATCGCTAATATCAAGTACTTCCAAAATTTGCGATCCTAAAAATAATAAATTTCCGTATAAGATACAACTCGGGCAACCGGTAAAAAAAAAAACGTTAAATTTTAATTTTCTCGTACCTGCGCAACGCTTGCACTTATATATACGAATAGAAATATCTAGTTTTGTGTAATACGATATATAATACCCAATATTAATACACCCCCATTGCAAAAGACTGACTCGTTAGAAAATGAAACGTTTCAGTTACGTACCCATTTCAAAATGAATACACTCAAATATCCGGCAACCTTTTTGGCGGTATCTCGATCATCATGCACGCTTTTGGCCATTGCGTGTCCGCGCAGCACATTTCTTTCAATCTTCCATATTTTTCTTCTAATCAGTATCAGGCATGACGCCACAACAAGCAGGGTCACCAACAGCACTGAATCAACGAATAAAGATGCGACTGAGCCATCAGGCGGTTCGGTACAGTCTGCATTCGATATGATGTAAAAAAAAAACACGAGATTAATCATTTTGTTGTTTGTTTTTTTTTTTAACACAATAATAATATTTCGCCCCTTTGTTCACTTACAGTATTCGCTGTTTCCGTAATCGTTTCGGCATAGACAGGCCATGGCAAGTGCTATTGTAATTATTATAATCCATGCTTGATAATCGTATGGTCCTAGTTGCATATGGGTTTTTCGATGCACCTTGAAAAATATTATGCGGAAATAAGCAACACAGATACATACGGGTATACAGCTTGGCTTGGCGACACTGATTATTATTGTTTGTATAGTTACCCTCAAACAAGCTATAATGCTCATATATACAAATAGACCAACGTTCAGGCATAGAAATATGAGTTCAAGAACTGCAAGTATACTGCAAATGGGCTGTGGCCACTTTCGTTTAAAGATTGTTGGATACGCCTACAAATAAATGTTGCGTTAAAGTTAGCAAAATGCAGAGATTTCAATATTTTTCCTTAACTAAACCGACTTTTTTTTTTCTTACCAGATCAGCAAGACATACTAAACTTGCCAAGATATCTAAATATCCAATAGTGTTAGCAATACAGGTTGCGTGTAAGATTGCATGTCCAGATGGCATGGCAGATTGCATGTCAGAAAAAGAAAGGCACAACAAAATCGAGTCATTCTCTCATTGATTTACCTGTAATCGCATTGGAAAGCGGCAGTCGTTGCGTGATCGGAAGTTCATTCTTGCCTTTAATCTTGCTCCTCCAGCAAAATACTCTTCCAATCACATAAAATGAACACAGTAAACTACAGCCCAACATTATAGGAGTAAATAGGCTCACGAGTTGCAAATGAGACGGATCAGGGCCATTGGAAATACCAATACGTTTGTCAATGACTCGGCCATATACGGAAGAACATAGCACAAATAATAATAAAACTTTTGAACTCATTTTTACATTAAACTAATTAGAAACAATAATAAGTAAAAAAAAATACATAAAATAAATAAACGGAAAAAAAGGAGAGATGTTTTTAACAAATAATTCGGCGGATAGTAAAAAGTCGTGAAACGTTCTATTGCCCCAAGTCTTGCAATATAAACATCTAGTACGTAGCAAGGGGATCAGTGGCAAAGAAGGGAGGAGCAAGAGAGTGGAGGGGAGGGGGAGGGGAAAGGGAAATAGCGTGAGATGAGGTACGAAGAAGGGCCTTCTTGACAGTTATTTATTTATTATTTATCCCTGTGTATGCCGATTACCGGGATTACCGTAAATAGCTAGCCGGAATTAATATTATCAATAATGAGAAATGTCATTAAGCGGAATGATGGTAACTTTCGGTAACCACGGCCATAGGCTAAAACCTTGTACAATTTATCTTTCCCCACACACCGAAATGATGCTTCCGACCCGAATTTGTCGGAAGTAGAGAATTTGCCAAAATACATTAGATATTTTCGATTTCTATTCTTTGTGCGTACGGCAAGTAATAATAGATCGTGCCTTCTGTCATCGAAAATGGCCCAATGGTACAAAAAATAAACGGCACATGTAATCTGTGTGCGTGCGTGTGTGTGATGTCTGTACGGTTGTCGTGATCGTTTGATAGGGCGGGCAGGGATGCAAAAATTTATCAAGTTATCGATGACATGTATATTGGGCCGGGACGACTGATTAGGACAAATTTAACTTGCATTGACAATAAGATAGTTGGTCGTCCAAGCCCACATCCCTCAGTTGGCAACTGTTGAAGTTGTTATGCGTTGCGCGTGCAAAAAGCGCAAATGTGTCGTTATTTTTGATTATTGTACATTGTTTTGGTTAAACCCATCTTTATGTGACAGACATTTTCTTAACCAATTATTTTGCCATCGGTAGATTAGCTTAATACATATTTAGATTTCACATAACAAAAAGTCGGGGATCGGAGAACCACAGGTCCGTGCAAAGAAAAGAAAAGAAAAAAGGTCTTAACCAGGAAGAGAATCGCTTGGAATCGTACATGTTCGTTTTGGGATATGCTTTTATTCTCATTACATATTTATGACACACTGTTCGTTTAATGTTTGGGTCGACTATGACATTTGAAGGAGCGGATGACGAAACTATGTAGTCATTGTTTGACGTGATAAAAAATCTCTTTACCCTTTTCAGTCTTTACAAGTGCACGTGTACGTGAGTGTTAATCACTTTTTGGAACCTTGTAATTTTTCTTTATTGAACAAACAGAAGCTTCCAACTAGTGAAAGCTTAATGATTGGATAATTTGTATGCGATTGGTCAAGCATCATGTGTCACATATGATCATAATGAATTCGATTTTTGGTATGGTGCACAAATTTCGGAATTTGTTTCAACCACGCTGAAGGTCCGGCTAGTACATATTAATACTAGCAAAACACTTTAAAAAGAACTCGTTTTACTGATGACATATTTACAAACAGAGTCTTGATTGTCAGTCAGTCACTCAAACATTTAATTATCAGGGAAACATGTCAAATTAAACTCAAAACGTGAATACGTTTTTTTCCCTTTTAAAAACTCCGACGCTCGGATTTCGGGATAGTAATAGGGTTGGCTGATTGGTCAGATCGTGGTTTAATGGGAACCAGGATGTTGCCCTTTTTTGAGGACATGGTTTAACTTTACTGGTTTGCGCATCGAAGCATGTTATTATGTACGATCATAAGGTCACATCCTCGTAATGCATGCAAGTAGATCCCTGTTATGAAACAAAAGGTCGGGTTTTGCCCTCTACCTATAACAAACGAAAGGGTCATTAGAGTTACTCTTTCACCACCCTTCTGACATCAATACGTCATCATGCTGTTTCCCTGTTTTGGATGACATTAACCAAATTTAATAAATCGATGTGATGACTTGTAACATTCATCATTTGACAACTTCTGCCGCCGATGCTGTCGATTTTAATCGAAACAAACAATGTTTAGAAAATTATTGTCGCTCAAGTTTTTGTTTAGATCATGTTGATTACACACTTTTTCATGCAGTCTGTCCCTTTCCACCAAATAAAGTTTTTTTAATGACCTGACCGTCATTAATTTTTCTTTTCGCATGAGGATTCGCTCATCCAATCATATTTTTTAATTCTCTATTACCGTCCCTGTTATGTGCTTTATTCTTTTCGGTTTGACAGTCTTTTGCGATGCGCTGCCCTTGCAGTACAAAATGCTGTGTGCGCATCCCAAAACTTTTTTGAAAAAGCAAAATTATGTAATCACTGTACTACGGCATTTACCGTCAATGAGATAATATTAATATACAACTTATGTTAACGATTGACCGGGAAGAAGACTTTATGTAGGATGATTAATTATGGTCAATTATTTGCAAGTTTTGCGCATCCATATTGTCTACAGTTACCCAAAAATGCATTGCAAAGTATAATAATATCAGAAAATAGTTTTTTTCTAAAAAGTATTTGTAAAAAGCTATCACTATGACATCAAGCAATTACCGATGCTTACGACTTGGAGTTAGGCGTGCACATTTTGAACGTTTGATTAAACACAATCTGTTATTTATAGCATGGAAACCTGGAAGCTGTCTGCCTGTCACAAAGTTTTAAAAATAACTACTAAACTATGTATAATTAATATGTGCTTAAATATTGTACAAGCAACCTGCATACTTTATAGCTTGTAATGTTTATCAAACATTTGAGTAGACATGGTTACTAGTCTGTTAAATCTTATCGGACAAGCATATTCTCTTCCAAGACACATTCTCACTACCTGCAGCGTGTAAACCTGCCAGGGGCTTTTTCCTTTTCGTGCAAAGGGTTCAAGTCTAGAGACACAAGGTCAGTTTGAATATACAGCAAACAATATTGCTGCGACGTTGTAATAAATCCCTAACTATAACGTCGAGTTATCGTTTTCTTTAAGTACACCTTAATTATAGTTATCAATTTAGAATATAAAGTATAATATTATCCCAGAAATTTTCAAGTTTTATTGAGACCTCGATGGCAACTGCTGACTAATAAGCTATTTTTGAGCAGGTAAACCCGACGGATTCCGTTCAATTGCCCGACAGCTATTTACCCGACAATTAACTACCAAAAAGGAATAACTTTGAAATAGTGTTGGTGAATACTTGTCGGAAATTGATTGTCGGAAGTTGATCGTCGGACAAAATGCCGACGCGTTAACAAAAGGCAAATTCTAACCGGCTTGAACCGGCCTTGGCTCATTAAGTCGTTAAATTGTTATGGTATAAAAAGATACTCTTAATTGCCTGTGAAATTGTTTGCTACAGAAATAATGTTATCTGACTGGTAATGATCTAAACCATGTGAAAATTTTAAACAAAAAGCTCTTGTTTTCAATACCGTGAATAAACACGCATCATACCCATAACGTATCCCCTCATTAACTATTAATTGCATAATGACAAGTTGCAGTTTTATCTTTACGAGAAAATTAGTGGTTAGCCTGAATCTGGAATAGCCTGTCCGAGTTGCAAGTCTGGCATCTTTCTTCAATAAATGGGTTAGGTTACTTGAGCACAAATTCGTTATTACAAGTGAGTCTCGATATTAATATAGGGAATACAGTTATATAACGAAGTAAAGGCTTTTTTTTTTTGGAAAAATGCTCATTGAACAAACTTTAATAAGTATCGGGATATACCGACATTTAATACAACGGCAATTGTTATATATCTTTGAAATGATTAAAGTAACACATTTCATTTTGCTTTCTTACACGTTTAACAAAGCAGAAACAATCGCTGGAGATGAGAGTAACGTTAAAGTGGTCAAAGGTATTTCAAATGTTATTATCAAAGCATTGGATGCTCAAGATATGCAAAAAAATTTTAAAAGCTTATGTTCAACAGAAAAGCAAAATTTACTTATCTCTAGTTTTAAACAAGTTGTTAACTGTATCAAATTTATCCGATAAAGTTTGAACATGTGTATTTGTCGTTATAAAGTTTAATTCTCAATATGAGGGGAGCATTATCGATAGAATTAACCATTTGGGGCTTGCCGTTATAGCGAGACCCATTTGTACGTATCTTGATAGCAAATATGTGTATATCGCCGTCTTTTAAACATTCACACAAAGCCCTGCACATGAGTAATATTGATCTTGTGGGTTTATATAAACATTTATGCATACTATTTAACGTTCATGAGTTTACAATTGACTATTAGTATTGGTATATTAGCTTGGAATCCGGGTGTACAGTACAATGCGAAAACACATGAAATTACATGCATCTGTTATAGACGAAGCAAAACATTAACGCATACTTGTATAAAGACACAATACACACATTTACAATTCCCCCCCCCCCCCCTCTTTTCTCAAGGAACATAATTCAGAGAAGCACGTAACTTTCGGATAATTCCGTAATGACTTTTTAGCACCGCACCAAGTGGATAACCCAAAAGGTGTTTGATATTACTATTTACTCTTTCGCTTTGCTTGTCAATTAACTTTGGTTGCCTGAAAGTTTATCCATATTAATTAGTGATCATCATATTGCATAATAGAATAACCCTTAATAAAGGATTATGCACTTTAATTCAAAAAGAGTATTTGATAGACGAAGCAAACCGTTTCTGTTTGACAAAAGAGACTCCTAGTTAGAGTCCGAGTTTGGATAGGCTGCATTTCTATAAAAAGCAGCGACTATTTCTGCAGGGCAAGCTATAGCTTAAACAGCTATTAGATATTACGACATTAGCGCAAGAGTCCACGTTTGTCTGAAAGGGAAAAAAAAGACGTTTTTTTTTAAGTTTACGCCGCTTTCTACAAAAAGAGTATGTAAAATAAACACTAGTCATTAAATTTTGCAGATGGTCAAATTAAAGTATGACACAATCTTTTAATGGCTTGGATATATTTGCTTAGTAAGTTTCTATATTTACTGGAATAAACCAAATTGGCTTAGCGTCAATAAAATTAATGGTTACTTCATTAATGGCAACTTGTTACAACAAGTTGAGCATACGAAGGGGAATGGAATGCAATCAAACGTTATATCGCATATTACACCACAAAGACTGTCATATGGTTAATTGCACACAGGACATTCGTTGCAAAAATGATAACCCGAATCATGGAATGGATTTTGTGGCCAAGGAGAAAAGTTCCACGTATTATTTGCGACGTTGTAGTTGAGGGGTAAAGACATCAAAGAATCATTCGAACCAACACGCAAGTCATACTTTCTAATTGGGGAGATGGTGTGAAGATGTAAGGGGAGAGCAATACAGAAATACAAGAAATACAAGCAATGCAATACAAGCAATACAGAAATACAAGCAGTACAGAAATACAAGCGATGCAAGCAATACAAAGATAGTCAAGTAAAAAGATCTTATCGATAACGAGTGCCCATTATCATTATGTAATACCGTAACAATTGTTACAGGTAGTGGTAACATTAAATAAGAACATGCATGCACAAATTTTTTTCATTATGCAAATTCCGATAATCTTACACAAACCAAAATATTATTTATTATCTTGTCAGTTTCCCTGCTTTTTTTGAGCGGGGTGCTAAAGGTGTGACAATCTTTGAGCTAGGGTTAATGTTTAGCGTTGGTGTCAGCGTAGTGTTTGATTTTGATTTTGATTTTGGTTTCTGGCGGCGTAATATTAATTAATTAATTAATATTCACACAACGCACAAATAAGGGGGAGAGGGGAGGGGGAAAAGAGGGGAGGGGGAAAAGAGGGGAGGGAAGAGAGAGAGGAATAAGAAAGGGAGAAACTATGTTTATCTTTTACGATTATTACGATTATGCCAAGAAATAAACGGGAGTTTTTTTGATAAATAGTATAGTATGTTATTCCCACTGTCTTTATCTATCATGGCACAATTGTGGAACTAATTATTCTCTTTGTACCAAGTGCAGTGTTTATTTCTGGCATCCATCATCGTGATCGTTTGCAAACATGATAATCACATACTTATAAGTAAGTGTTTTTCTATAACCTTCAAACCTGTCACACCGATTGATGTTATCTTGTTTGTTTCCCGTCTTATTTACTTTTTACGGCATCTATAAATGTAAATGGTCAACTAAAATGTTGGCGTCTCACAAACTGCTGCATATGCATCGCATCGCATTCCTTACAGCTATTTACAGAGATCAATCCCACCTTTTTGATGTTGGCTAGTTCAGGGTTTTTGCAGGAAAAGAATCCCAGTAACACTGCGTCTAAACACATTGTTTTACATTTGCTCGTCGTTAGCGCAAGTCTTTTTCTCTCTCACTTTTCCTCAGAAACGACTTTATTCTATCAAAGACATTTGCTGTTATATATGTTGAAGCGTATATACAAAAAGTACCCATAATTGATTTCAAATCACCAACACTTACTCTTAGAACCATCAGTTCGATTTATTAATTTCTCAAAACAAAGAACAAAAAACCATTCACAGCTGACCTCGTTGAACACCCGGCTATCAATCGCACACACCACAAAATGGCAACTATGACGTCCACACCGTCTTATCCAACCTTTCGAGACAACCCAGAGATGCGCGGTCGATTTGACGATGATGCCGCATCGAATGCAAGTTTTTCGGGCAAACGTGGTCTAAACGAAATGTACAATAAACAAGAACAGCAGCGCGGTACTGAAGACGCATCTCCAAAACTAAGGCCGTCGTCACTGCCAAATGGTGGGCGAATGCCTCCATTGCAACATCAACGTTCAATGTCGTCTCCCGAATCAGACATGTATATGCAGAATGAGGACTTTTCATGGTAGGAATTGGTGGGGGAGAGAGGAGGGTGTCATTTGGGGCTTTCGGAAAGTGGAATGGAAGGTGAGGGGGGTTTGGTGTTGTCTAATATGATTGTCAGTATGACTGTCTAGTAGTGTGATTGTCTAGTATGGTTGTCTAGTATGATCGTCGGGTTGGGCTGCAAAGACAGGTTTATCAATGACTTTCTGACGCTCATACGTTTTGCAAATGCCATGCTTGTTTAAATAGTCCTATTTGTCTTCACACGATCAAAGAAGCATTCCTCGGTAGATGTGGACACTCGTACTGGTAAATATACGCTTTGATGGCTGTTTCTCGTTTTGCGCAGAGAGAATTTTGGTTAACGTGTCTATCGTCTTTTGTAGTTACGTGTGTATAACCGGCCACTTGGAACGTAAACGTGATTGTCCGGCTTGTGGATGTCCTTTAATGCGTGATCAGATATATCCAAATTTCCTACGTGAGTATGGTGGCAGAGAACGCTTCAAGCTAGTTTCCGATCAGATTGCTAATCAACCCATGTATCAATTCAGTAAACAGAATTATAGAAAAAACTCCGACAACGCCCGGTAGCCCATTAGATGGTACCATCTCGCCCACAACAAAGCATATGAGAACTGCCATCTTGGCGAGTAACTTTAATGCCGATGGTTAGTTGGTCACGTGAAATCATTGTCAGATTATATTTGAATGGGGGGCGCGTTATTTTTTTTGACTTTACTGATATGTTCCAACCGACTTGGCATTTTACCTCAGACATCAATTCAATGATAGTAACGCTATTAGCTAAGAAACAACGCATAGAATCTGCAGAACGAGAAGCTGAACTAGACATTTTATCGGATTTCCTATCAAAAGTCAGGGCAAAGAAGGAATCGGTGAGCAGAAGCAAATGATCCATTGAATGACTGGAGATTACAAGGATGAATAGAATGCTGACGTTATTTCGTTTATTTTAGAAACTGATGAAATTACAACAAGAAATTCAATGTCTGAATGGCGACCTGTATACGATCCAAGAAGAACTCAAACGCATCACACAAAAGCAGAAACGAGCGGTAGTATTTGATGACGAGACGATAGCAGACAATGGAAGTGTCTTGATTGGTGTTCCTTCATGCAATGACTCGGCAGAGTCTGACGTTATTGACAGTTATCAACATAAGGAGGTAAGATATCTTGTGTTTTGAACTTTCTCGATTGGGACATTGGGTGAGACGAATGCATTTTTTACTTTTTTTTCCCTCACTGTGACAACAGGATATGGACATGAACGTTGCAGAATCACCCAGCAGGTAAATATGATTACCGTGTCATGAATGTATCTCGTTCATTCTATAATTGCTTACTAACGCCTGCTTGTACGTCTAGTTTGAATTCGTCGCCAGCTTTGAAACCGACAACAGTACCCGAGAATAACGAAAAATTAATGGCCAAGAAACAAAGGGTGTTGGAACACTTTGAAGATTTGACTGATCATTATTTCTCGTGTAGGCTTAATACTAGTGGATGTACGTAATTTGAAATCGTTACGGGGAAACTGAATGTCGATTGGTTAATCGCCAAGTATTATATATTGTATATTATATATAAGTACTTATCCCTCTTGCATCGTTTTTGTAGATCGATCTGACGACGGTCTGTCAGACTTTTGTGATTCACTAAGCACCTTTACCCATTACAGTCGATTCA